CCTCCTCCTCCTCTTCTTCTTCTTCTTCTTCTTCTTCTTGTCTGCTGATGCCCATGGTTTTCCTTCTCCTCACCCCTCCCCTTCTCCTTCTCCTCCTCCTCCTCTTCCTCCTCTTCCTCTTCCTCCTCCTCCTCCTCCTCCTCTTCCTCCACTTCCTCCTCCTCCTCCTCCTCCTCCTCCTCTTCTTCTTCTTGTCTGCTGATGCCCATGGTTTTCCTCCTCCTCCTCTTCCTCTTCCTCTTCCTCTGCCTCTTCCTCTTTCTCCTCCTCCTCCTCTTCTTCTTCTTGTCTGCTGATGCCCATGGTTGCTGTAACACCCGCACGAAGACCCACACCCTCACCATAACCTGTCTGACCCCCTCAACCAGAAAAAAAAAGATCACGGATTTCTTTGCGGATCCTAACTGCTCTAGGTGTAACCCCTCTTTCAAAAAAAAGAAAAAAGAAAAAAAAATCGACCATTTTTCAGCCCAACCGGTATTCGGTTGGAGGACCTGAGTCCAACTGGCCGGTTGCTGGCCCAACACTGTTTCAAATAGAACAAGCTTAGCACCCGCGGTGCGGGCGGTGCGGCCTACGCCCGCAACCAAAAAGCGGGAAACGGCATGCCCACCGGGAAAAGACACGCCCACCGGGAAACAAAAAGAAAAGAACAAACGAAACGACAAAACGACACACCCGGCCAACAAAAAGTGAGAAACGGCACACCCACGGGGAAACAAAAAGAAAAGAAAAAAGTTCAAAAAACAAAAAGCGGTAAAAATAAGAAGAAAAAAAGAGGAACGACACGCCGACCAAGAAACAAAAAGAAAAGCAAAAACGAAAAGCGGGAAACGACAGGCCAAAAACAAAAATGCAAAAAGAAAAAAAGGCTGCCCGCTTATCGACGGCAGTTGCTTCAAGATATTCCCTCACATCTATGCCCGCCGCCGCCTGGCCCCATGGGCGCGCTCTCTCGTTTAGTGGCATGCTGTGAACATTTCGGTACGCTCTCCCCTCTGCACACTCCCCCGCCCTGGATGGGCTTCATCCGCCGGCCCTCCTCAAAACTTCGACCCCAAATCCGGCGCGCAGCAGACCATTTACCTCCCCCCCGCGGCCGATGCTGCTTAAGGGGTAGGATTAAATATTTCGTAATGAAATTTTAAATAAATTCAAAAATATATTACCGGGTAGCTCTGTTGAACGATATATACATCAATATCACCGCTTGTTTCTGTGTTTTTTTTTTTGTGTCTTTTTCCCCCCAAACCTACCCCAAGTGGGGTGTCCCATCTGTTCTGGGGGGCATCAGTCCGGTTACTTGTCACGGGCAAGCAAGTTTACAAAATTCAAAATGCATCGAAAGTTCTGTGTAGTTTTAATCCGCCCTCTGTGTCCAGCAGTGGAGCATCATCATGGCAACGAGGGGCATAATTGCAATTATCCTCCGTCCTCTCATTTCATCCTAGAATGGTTTGGCCTGCCCCTTGTGTTGCCAAGTGAGGCCATTGGCTCTCCCATATTCCTGCTATACTCCACAGTCCGCAACTGCGAATGCACCGTAGTTGGGTGTGTGGGCGTTGCGCTCTCAACCATGCGAACATGGGTCTCGCTCCACTACTGTCCGCTATACACATTTTTGGAGAGTTTGTGTATAGATGTCAGAGTGAAAAAACGTAGAATTTGCGGCGTTGCTCCACTTACTGTCCGCTATACTGGTCTGCAATTCATGGGTTCACTACCAGATGCCTTCACAGCACTACAAGACACAGCGACATCAGCAATTTGTCCGCCCAGACTCCAGGTACACTATCCAAATTCAGGCGTGGTCGGTGAGTTCCTTCGTGGACTCTCTGCGTAACGATTTTTGCAGGCTGGGAACTATACAACCCTGGATAGCGATTCTGGAGAGCACCATCTGACTGCCAGCTATACATGGAAACTCGAAGGTTTCGGAAAGTAAGTGGAGCGGCATCCAGCTATCCGAAATCGTATAGCGAACAGTAGTGGAGCGAGACCCCATGAGGAGACCTTGTTCGTGAAATGAGAACTGAAGTGAAATAAAGGACAAACTTCAAGAAAGACAAAAGGCTAAAGAGGAAAGAGAAAGAATATGTTTCAATGTGTCTCGCGTTTTTCTTGCCTTCTGTCCTTCGTGTCCTTTTTTGTAAATTTCTTTTGTGAATGTGGTGTAGGTTCATGGCTATGAGACAACATGTAATGAAGATCATTAATGAATAAACATACAAGTGGACCTGTCGATTGGACCCGCTGCAAGAACCGGGACCACTGTAATTACATGCCCCCAGTGCCAATGGGTAGGAGACAGTACTCAATTGATTCACGTGCACATGTGTGGGTGTGAGTCTTGTAACCCTTCCACACCTCCTCCTTCCTCCTCACCCCTCTCTCCTTCCCCCACCCTCGTTTGCCCTTGTTCCCCACCTCCCTCGTCTCTCCTCTCTCCCTTGTCCCCTGAACTTCCCCCGACTCCTCACACCCCATCCTCCCCCTCCCCCTCCCTCTCCTCTTCCCTCCCCCTCCCCTCCCCTCCCCTCCCCTCCCCCTTCCCCCCCACGCGCATACACACCCACACAATCCAAAAGGGGCATTTAGAACTCCGCAACTTTCTAAACTGCTGCGGTTGCTATGATGGACATCAACGCGATCCAGCGCAGCTCTTACGAGGGGCCATGGTAAAAGGAAGAAAAAAAATCAAAAAAAAAAAAAAAAAGAACAAGAAAACGATGGCCATGTGCTATGATACCCTTGGGCTAGCCGAAGTGGATTCCATCATGAGTTTTTATTCGCTTTATTATTGTTTTTGCTTGTTTTCTTTTTCCCCTTTCTTTCAAAACACGAGTTTGTCCTTCGGGACATCCGTTAAAATTGGAACGATACAGAGAGAGAAGATTAGCATGGCCCCTGCGCAAGGATGATGACACGCATAAATCGAGAAATGGT